GTATGTTTGCGGCTGCTGAGGCGGCTGAGGCTTTCCTCCCAGGTCTGTCTGATAGTCATGCAGAGTGCCGCTCCCACTGCACTCTGTCAGAGACCCTTCCCGCTTCTGCTCACCAGGGACCAGGTACGGCCCCTGCAGCGAGGCACAGCCATACCATACACAAACCATGCAGAGACACAAACAGCAGAGCAAAAATGTAGGTAGTTAGTCAGCAGGATTAGTAGGCAGGGTATACAACATGTGACTTAATAGCACTGCGGCATCACAACCTGAGGTGTTCCAGCTCAAAGACTTTTGGTATTAAAAGCATTAGTGTTCATTAGTGTGTGCACACAGAAACTTATACTGCAAAGTTCCAAGGAGCCAACACAAACATACAGTAATCACTGAATTAGTCAAACACATTTGACCCGCTGCATTTTAAACTTATGATAGCAACTTGCGAACTGAAATCACTCATAAGCAACTATTCAGCAGGCAGACAGAACATCTTCCATTATAACACTGCCAACTGCTGGCTTACTGACCTCATGGCAGCATAAAGCGGTGATTATGTAATTAGTTCATCTCTTTATTTATCTTTTATCCTTTGTTGTTCATACTGACATGCAGAGCTGAATCAATGAGGTCATTTTTTTGTATTTTAAGAAATTCAAATGACTGAAATGCATTGTTCTCAGATTATTTTTATGATGTTTTCAGCCATAATGGCGCCAAAATGTTAAAGACAAATATCTTTGACAGTATGGAGCTCATCATAATTGAAGTGCAGTCAGTCATAACTGCAGAATAGAGACATAACTGATTAGTATTTAGCTGTTAAAATGAATATAAAATGAGAACAAATTATACTGGACAGAACGTTTAGAACAGCCACCACCAAAGTAAACATTTCTGTTCAAAGAGGTGGATGTGACTTGCTGTTTTCAGGGGTGGTACCATGGCAACACGGAGGAGGACAGCAAACTGAATTCAGCTTCCTGGACCAGAATAAGTGCTGGAGAAAGAGGCTACAGAGCTAAAGAGGGCAGGGTAGTGGCAGCAGATATCATTTCACTCTTGATTACAGCAAAATAGAGGTGCAGAGGTGCCTTATAGGTTATTCTTTAAGCCCAGTGTGGATTGAGTTGAGATGCTCTCACAGTTTTAACAGTGCAGGGAGGGAAACGCTGACCTGCTAAGATACAGACTTTGTCATTTGACTGGTAGGTGTTCTTAAACTAGCAGCTCATGTGTGGTTCATTTGTGTGTCACTTCTTGCACAGGTCTGTTTCTATGGATGTGTATCTGTGTTGTGTTTCTATGTCCAACATAAGCAGGGTTTCAGTGAATTCCTCCTTCACGGTAAAGAAAGCAGGCTGCTAAATTTGAGTTGAGATTGAGTTGCTGGAGTTCCCCCTCTCTCTGCAGCACTTCACACAGCGTGTTCTTCCTGTTTCCCCTCACTGGCTACTCCACTGTCCATGTCAGGCCACGGATCCATATTTTTGCGCAGGGTGGTGAGCACCTGTACCTGTAGGTTGGAGACGGGCTCAGGGGAGGCGGCCAGGGCTGCTGTAGCCATGGTACGGGTCAGCAGAGGAATGTCAAACAGTTCCTGTGCATGAATAAAATAACTATTTGTTGCTTTCACAGAACCAAAATGATTTTTTTTTTTCTTGTCTCAACTAAAATTCCAGAAACTCATAGTTCTCACTCACAGGTGGGCACTGAGCCAGCTTGTCTGCCGCCACCATCTGCACATTTAGGTGTTTAGCCTGGGACTTCCCCCTGGATTTAATGAGCCTCTGGAGGACCTGCACAGAGAAAAAAAGCACACTGTTTACTGAGCCAGCATTCATTTATGTCAAAGCATATGCCCACTTTTGCACAGATGCATGCAGTCATAATAGTATCATAATTGCTTAGGAGCAACACTTTTACAGGAGGGTTGTGCAAACAGGGTTGGTGCAATTCACATACTGCAGTTGCTTTCACACCATTCCACTGCTCGACAGCTGGTGGCAGTAAAGCACCAACAGACAGCAGTATATTCAAGCAAACATGAAAGTCATTACTTTAAATTTTTAAATGGGCTTTGCAAATGTTTACACATTTGTTAGATACCAAGGATACATGTAAGTTTTTCCAAGAAACACTGACTGTAAACAGAACTTGTTTAATTACAGGAAACTCTACAAGGCACCTTTAAGGCTTTATCTGTCGCCATACCTTGGGTGAGGCTATTTTGATATAGACAATGATGGGAGCCAGGGAGGTCTTAGCCAGCTGAGAGGGGTGGTTGATGGTGTCTGCATCCAAAGCGACCAGCTGGAGGGTGCGGGCTAGCTCAAAGATACGTTCGATCTCGCTTTGCACCTCCGCTGAAGGCACAGTAAAGAGATAAGAAATAAATACAAGACAGCGAAGCCATGATGGAAAACCACTTCTCTCTCTAAGAAGACACAGAGCTGCGTATCAGCCATACTTCCTTTACATTGTGCACAAGTAAATAACTGACATGTTAGTACTTAATCATGCATGTCAAAGTTTTGGAAAAACAGTCCCAAGCATATGAATCTGATTTGAACACAGTTAAAGTTCCATTTATGCACAGCTAAATGGAGCAGTGCAGCATCCTCATTCTGTTGCCACCTCCCGACCTTTACGATTCTGATATTTTTGTGTCAAAGTTGTGACGGAAGGAAGCACTTCAGAATGAGGTGCCTGCAGCACTTGGAATAACTAATAATAAGAGCACACTTTTCAACATGGAAATAAAACAGAAACCAAGAAATAAAAACATCTTCCTCAAACAAATGATGTGGAACATCAGTTTCCGTTAGTCCCAACACACATAACAGCAATTATTCTATCAGGTGAACACTGAAGTCTGTGCACTGCTTGAGCATTTTGCTTTCATTGTTCCTCAACAACAGCCTATAAAAGCTCGCTATTTAGCATTTCAAGTACAGTTCTGCCTGCTTTCATCAGCCTGTTGATGTGTAAGGAGAGAGATTAAAACCGGAATGTTTCTCGGCTGCCCTCAGCGTCCCTGAAAGTGTGTGTGCTGCCAGCCCAGTGAAAGAGCGAGATAACAAGGCAGTCTGAAGAGAGATGTGGTGTGCACATATTTCAGCAGCCTCCAGGGGGCTGAAGGATAGAGAATTAAAGCTGAAGGCTAAAAAAGGGGCCTCCACAGAGTGATAAGAAACATAAACTTTACCTCATATAAAAACATAGCAGGTTTAAATTAATCTCAACAAAGACCTGAAAATTTTGATTTGTCTGCAGACAGAAACCTGCTCTCCCACCACTGACTTGACTGAGTTTACAAGGTGAGGTCCAGCTTTTATAGAGGCCATCCATGGGTATGACTTCACATAAAACACAAGGATTGTTTACTGTAGGTTACAACATAGGGGCAAGAGCAGTATGGAAAGTAACAGCTTCTCCCTCTGCTCATTTCCACTCACAGTTGCAGAGCAGTTACCAGCCACCCTGCTGCCCTCCCACGGATCTGTTCCTGGTTTGGTTTTGTAATTCTTTTCTTTTTGTTAGAGACTACAGGCTGTCACACAGAAGTATGAGAAACTGACAGGCAAGCAGACAGGCAGACAAATGATGTATGAGTAGATGATGAGTACAGTGAGAAGGAAAGGGGAGGGAAGACGGAGAGAGGCTTCATTGTTTTGTGAGAAGAGCATACGTACCCAGTACGTCTGAATCAAAAGAGAGTGGAGGAAGAAGACGGGTTGTGGGAGAGAAAAGGGAGGATGGGTGAAGGGCAGAAGAGACAGAATGAAGAGAGAGAGGAAGCCAGATCAGACTCAAGCAATAAGAGCAGGTATAAAAAGGAAAGTACTCGACACTTTTAGGTTTTTGAATGAAGTACAATGATGCTTAAAGTACATGTAGTTTTTATTTTTTTTTACATTTATTTTACCAGGCAGTCCCATTGAGATAAAGATCTCTTTTTCAAGGGAGACCTGGCTGTTGTGTCTCCCTTTATCGCCTCTCAATTTGTGACTTGCTAATTACATAACTGATATTTTGTAAACCATTTTCCATAAAGCCAAGTAGCCCTCAAATTCATCACAAACTGTAAAGCTGTAAGATATCACAAATACTAAAAGAGTAACTTAACACACCCCTGAAAATCCTGCCTCTCTTGACCTCCAGTGGTTTAACTTCTCCCCCTTCTGCAGTGATGTACAGGTGGACCTTATGACATCACGGCTGGGTGTGGCCACAGGTGCAACAAACCACACCCCCTCCACACCAATCAGGGATGTGGCTTTGTTTTTTTTTAGCTGAAGCAGTATAAATAACAAAATATTTAAGTGCTTTCTAAATATACGGTATGTTTACAAATGTAATTTGACTAAAAACATGAACTTCTACAGGTATTTTTAACATGTTAAATGATATCTTTAACGTGTGAAATGGTAAATGTGTTTAATTTGAAGCTGCAAATCAAGCTTGATTTGATTTGATTTATTCTTTCAAGCATGTAAAGAGAGTTGATATGTCAACACACATAATTTTACACATATCCAACAAATGCTAATCCAATATCAATTTGCTTATACCTAGTACATGCTTGAATGGAGTAGGAAGAAGTCAGACTTATCCAGTCCTACCCCATGACATCATCTTACCATCATTGGTTTGCAAGCAGTA